TTAAAGGCAATTACCCTAAAGTTTGAAAAAGGCATAGGTAGTAGCCATGCATTTTTAAAAAAAGAAATTAAAAATTTATTTTTGTTTAAAATTCAATGACACTTAAGCGTGTTGTGGCTGTGCCATTCACAGTATAGATTCTTGCTTTGCAAGATCACTCTACACATCGCTAGTATGTTTTTGTTTCATCGGCGTTTTTCTTATGATAATGGTAGCTTTAATTTTCCTTGTCCACAAATATTTTTCCACCAGTGTTTGATTTTCGGAACTTAGCCATGGATTCCAAATACAAATATAATCTACAATATCCAGAATCTATTAGATGTTTGTGGTACACACTGCTGGAATGATCTGAAACTACTAGTTTAATTTTCTCTAGATTTAAAAAAGAAGTTTTTCTCTCATTTTTTTTTCTTTATGGTAACTACCTTTCTGCTTTTTAGAGTAATTAAAGGTATTGGTGTGCATATTTAAAACACATTTAAAAAATTCTTTTAACATTAATTAATGTTAACTAACTTTTTGCTTGTTTAGAATAATTAAAAGTTGGTTTGCAATGAGAAAAAAGAAGAAAAGAAAGCATGGTCACTTTAAAAAATTAACAGAGGTACGCAATTATCCAGGGACGCAATTGTCTAGGGTCGCAATTATCCAGGGACGCAATTGTCTAGGGTCGCAATTATCCAGGGACGCATTTGTCTAGGGTCGCAATTATCCAGGGACGCAATTGTCTAGGGTCGCAATTATCCAGGGACGCATTTGTCTAGGGTCGCAATTATCCAGGGACGCAATTGTCTAGGGTCGCAATTATCCAGGGACGCATTTGTCTAATTATCCAGGGACGCATTTGTCTAGGGTCGCAATTATCCAGGGACGCAATTGTCTATCGCAATTATCCAGGGACGCATTTGTCTAGGGTCGCAATTATCCAGGGACGCAATTGTCTAGGGTCGCAATTATCCAGGGACGCATTTGTCTAGGGTCGCAATTATCCAGGGACGCAATTGTCAGGGACGCATTTCCAGGGACGCATTTGTCTAGGGTCGCAATTATCCAGGGACGCAAGGGTCGCAATTATCCAGGGACGCAATTGTCTAGGGACGCAATTATCCAGGGACACATTTGTCTAGGGACGCAATTATCCAGGGACGCATTTGTCTAGGGACGCAAATGTCTAAGGGCGCATTGGTCTATGGACGCAATTATCCAGGGACAAATTTGTCTAGGGACGCAAATGTCTAGGGGCGCATTGGTCTAGGGTCGCAATTATCCAGGGACGCATTTGTCTAGGGACGCAAATGTCTAGGGGCGCATTGGTCTATGGACGCAATTATCCAGGGACAAATTTGTCTAGGGACGCAAATGTCTAGGGGCGCATTGGTCTAGGGTCGCAATTATCCAGGGACGCATTTGTCTAGGGACGCAAATGTCTAGGGGCGCATTGGTCTAGGGACGCAATTATCCAGGGACGCATTTGTCTAGGGACACAAATGTCTAGGGGCGCATTGGTCTAGGGACGCAATTATCCAGGGACGCATTTGTCTAGGGACGCAATTATCCAGGGACGCATTTGTCTAGGGACGCAATTATCCAGGGACGCATTTGTCTAGGGACGCAAATGTCTAGGGGCGCATTGGTATTGGGGCGCATTTGTCTAGGAACGCAAATGTCTAGGGGCGCATTGGTCTAGGGGCGCATTGGTCTAGGGACGCAATTATCCAGGGACGCATTTGTCTAGGGACGCAAATGTCTAGGGGCGCATTGGTCTAGGGGCGCATTGGTCTAGGGACGCAATTATCCAGGGACGCATTTGTCTAGGGTCGCAAATGTCTAGGGGCGCATTGGTATTGGGGCGCATTTGTCTAGGGACGCAAATGTCTAGGGGCGCATTGTTCTAGTGGCGCATTGGTCTAGGGACGCAATTATCCAGGGACGCATTTGTCTAGGGACGCAAATGTCTAGGGGCGCATTGGTCTAGGGGCGCATTGGTCTAGGGACGCAATTATCCAGGGATGCATTTGTCTAGGGTCGCAATTATCCAGGGACGCATTTGTCTAGGGACGCAAATGTCTAGGGGCGCACTTGTCTGGTATATACTTGTCCGGGACGCAAATGTTCAGTACGCAATTGTTCGGCCACCGACTTTTGGCTGTTCCCCAAGTTGAAGGAAAACCTCATGGGCAGTCGTTTTGAAGACATTGAGAAGATGAAGGAGGCTGGACATCTTCAATTTGGATGACGTCCATGGTGTCTTCATAAAGTGACTGTAGCATTGAATTGAAGTCAGGAAATCTACATTGATGGCGTTTATTAGAGTTTTGTAATTCTTTGAAACTAATAAAAATGTCACCCCTGAATATGTCTCAAAACTTTTGGAATGGACCTCTTATGTGTTTTCACGACTAATCTGAATATTCTCTCTGGGTCATCCATAAACTGATGAATATAATGTATTCGCCAGCGAAGAATAAACATAACCACAACATCCATATATATATATATATATATATATATATATATCGTTAAATATGACAGACAAGAAAAATTTAATTAATTTTTTATTTAGTTTTTCCAGCGTTCTTATATTTTCCCGTTTCGTGGGATAAAGGAGTTAAAAACTTGTCCATATTGTCCATTGTCACAAGCGCTTTCGGTCACTATTTTTAGCTATTTTTAGGGGACGGTGTTTTAGCTGTTCTTAAGTTCCCTTCATGTTTTGACTGCTTAAGATGCGTTTTATTTCTGTGTTGTTGTTAATACAAGTAGGAGCGTTTATTCCGAGCCTTCACATTTTGAACCTGGCTAGAATTCGAATGAGCGTCTTTCTATTAAAAAAAAACAACAACAACACACCACTCCCACTGTTAAATAAGGTGAGGTTGATAGTGGGAGGTAGATGATTAATATATATGTCCTCTCTCATAGCGAGATGTTTTCGGTAATCAAATTAACAACACCTAAAACAACCCCACTTGGAAATGACTAAAGAAGTGGGAAAAAGCTATATGGACAATTTTAAACGCCTTTACTCCAACTAAACAGAGAAAAAAATTAGAACGCCGGAAAAAAAAATTTAATTAAACTTTCCTTGTGTCAATATTTAACGAAAGATGTTTAAAAGAAAGGTAGGTTGCTGCCCATATATATATATATATATATATATATATATATATATATATATATATGTATGTATGTATGTATGTATGTATGTATGTATGTATGTATTACAAATACATTTCTTAAGTTTTGACATACATATATTTATATATTGGAGGAACTAGATCAAACATGTTCTTTACTGTAGTTCATCAGAATACAAAGGAAATCGTCGGGCTTTGTAAAAAAATGTCTTAATATTTTTAATTAAAATGATTTTAATTAAATTTAATACAAACCCTCTATTTAACGGACTTAAATTATTTATTTTTCATTTAAATGTTTATAAAAATTGTTACATATATGATCATTTTTTTTAAATTCATCGTGTTAGTATAGAAAGAATTTATCTCTGATGTTAAGTATAAGTGAATTTTTGGTTTCCATACAACAATCTAACTGAAGTGTTTAGTATTTACTAATTTCAAATCCTGAATTTATAAGATGGATTTAGAGTAGGTGCCATGAGTGCTTTCATTCAAATTCCATATCATAGATGGTTTTTTTTTTAAAGATCTCTCTCGAATTCAACTTCTTGGAACCCTTGGTAGAGAATGTTGATTTTTTGGTTTCAAGGTCATTCTTATCCCAACTATGAATACCTATGCCCTCAGAATATCTCCCCTAGTCATCAATACTCAGTTTGGGAAAGGTTTCTCTTGGCTCCTACTTCTTGAAACACTTGGTAGAGAATGGTTCGATTAAAACTAAAACTCTGTTCAGTCCAGGTGTTGTCTAGGAAGCGACCTTTTAGTATTTCTTTTTGTGTGTATTAGCCCTGTTAAATACATACATACATACATATATATATATATATATATATATATATATATATATATATATATATATATATATATATATATTAGCCCTGTTACTTCCTCTTTTGGAGAATCTGATCACAACCTCTGCACGTTAGCTGTCGTTGTTGTGATATTCAGCAGTGATTTGGTTTTTACAAGGTGATGTTGCAAGCCACACACGCAACCGCTTTTGAATTTAGAGTTATTTTTCTCCTTTACTGGCTACCAAGCAGTCAACACTACTGGAGAAAAAAGAGAGGGTATTTGTAGCCAAACTTGATTTCGACCCGCCAACCTCACATTCAGCGCCAGTAACCGTTACGCGTCCACCCGTAATACAATAGAAGTGAATGTGTTTGTCAATGACCGAAAACATCTTATCTAAAGACTATCAAGCGGAAACAGGTTCTGATGGATAAAATTCGTTTTAATCAGAATTAAAAATATAATTTAATATAAAAGAAAATATAAAACAAATGACTATTTTAAAGTCAATATTTTGGGGAAATTCACGCTAAAACGAGCCGACTTGGGCACAGTCTCGGTCCTTAGGGAATTTTCTCTAAATACGATGCATGAGATATGGTCGGTTAAATCGAGGGCTTATATATATATATATATATATATATATATATATATATATATAGAGAGAGAGAGAGAGAGAGGGGGGAGCGCAAATGTTGTTAAAAAATAAATGAAAAAATGTCGGCGATAAAGCTTGGGGATAAAGCTTTTAATGCTAGAAAACAGTCTTTGCAAGTACTCAATATTAACAAATATTAACCATTTATAGTCAACAAATAAAATAAAAGTTGGTCTATCTGCCTCAGACTGTATATATATATATATATATATATATATATATATATATATATATATATATATGTATGTATGTATGTATATAGATAGATAGATAGATAGATATATAGATAGATAGATAGATACTAAACTAGAGAGGTAGATACAAAGAGACAAAGATAGACAGAGATAGAAACAGACCGTGAAAGATAATTAGACAGAAAGAAAGACAGAGATACAAGCAGACTAAGATAGATAGATAGATAGATAGATAGATAGATAGATAGATAGATAGATACTAAACTAGAGAGGTAGATACAAAGAGACTAAGAGAGACAGAGATAGAAACAGACCGTGAAAGATAATTAGACAGAAAGAAAGACTGAGATACAAGCAGACTAAGATAGATAGATAGATAGATAGATAGATAGATAGATAGATAGATAGATACTAAACTAGAGAGGTAAATACAAAGAGACTTAGAGAGACAGAGATAGAAACAGACCGTGAAAGATAATTAGACAGAAAGAAAGACAGAGATACAAGCAGACTAAGATAGATAGATAGATAGATAGATAGATAGATAGATAGATAGATAGATAGATAGATACTAAACTAGAGAGGTAGATACAAAGAGACTAAGAGAGACAGAGATAGAAACAGACCGTGAAAGATAATTAGACAGAAAGAAAGACTGAGATACAAGCAGACTAAGATAGATAGATAGATAGATAGATACTAAACTAAAGAGGTAGATACAAAGAGACTAAGAGAGACAGAGATAGAAACAGACCGTGAAAGATAATTAGACAGAAAGAAAGACTGAGATACAAGCAGACTAAGATAGATAGATAGATAGATAGATAGATAGATAGATAGATAGATACTAAACTAGAGAGGTAGATACAAAGAGACTAAGAGAGACAGAGATAGAAACAGACCGTGAAAGATAATTAGACAGAAAAAGAAAGACTGAGATACAAGCAGACTAAGATAGATAGATAGATAGATAGATAGATACTAAACTAGAGAGGTAGATACAAAGAGACTAAGAGAGACAGAGATAGAAACAGACCGTGAAAGATAATTAGACAGAAAGAAAGACTGAGATACAAGCAGACTAAGATAGATAGATAGATAGATAGATAGATACTAAACTAGAGAGGTAGATACAAAGAGACTAAGAGAGACAGAGATAGAAACAGACCGTGAAAAGATAATTAGACAGAAAGAAAGACTGAGATACAAGCAGACTAAGATAGATAGATAGATAGATAGATAGATACTAAACTAGAGAGGTAGATACAAAGAGACTAAGAGAGACAGAGATAGAAACAGACCGTGAAAGATAATTAGACAGAAAGAAAGACTGAGATACAAGCAGACTAAGATAGATAGATAGATAGATAGATAGATAGATAGATAACAAGAAAGAATAAAACAGTCTAAGATAGATAGAAACATACATACATACATACATACATACATACATACATACATACAAAGATAAATAGATAGCGCTACTCTCACTAAATTCTCCGGTGTAACTCATCCAAGTATACTTAACCTAACGGATTGTGCCCCCAAGAACCACGTCTTCTTTCTGCAAGCCGCTTCCTTCTGAGCATTAGAAGCCGGTTGAAGCAAGGATATACAATGATTCCCTCGTATTCGCGTGAGTTAGGGTCCAGAATCAGTTGCGAATAGTTAGAAGCCGCGAATACTTGTAGCCGCCCCTCTAAAAGGGCTTATAAGTATCTATTTTGATTATTGAAACCACATATGCCTTAAACTTTCACCCTAAACACTTTAGAAACATTTCAGACCATTTTAAAAACATTTTTGTAAAATAGTATTGGTGATCATGTACTTAGCGTAAATTTTCTTTCATACGTACAATAACTGTTTTTAATTACGCATAGATCGATAAAATCATTGAAAATACTGTATAAAATATGTATAACAAGACAAAATATAAAGTTTCAAACATTTTCTAAAAACAGAACTGTGATGATGCCTCCCCCAGACTTAGCATAAACCACTTTTATGACCCCTGTCGCAACCCCTAACAAAGAACAAAACCCAAGCACTACGCATGTTTTTGTGTTTGTTTTTTTACAATGAAGATGTACAATGATGCCAATTTTTACCATAAAATAGATTGTTATATGTTTTAAGTCACTTAAATAACAGGAAAATAATACAAGAATATTTTAAGTATGCTCGGGGGAGTTCTCAGCGAATAATTTGTAAATATGTTTTTCAGAAAAACGCGCGAATATTCGGGGTTTTTGCGAATAACAAGTACATACGTTCTAGAGAAAAATCCGCGAATGTGTGAAACCGCAAATACTGAAACGCGAATAGGCGGGGGCACACTATACACACACACACATATATATATATATATATATATATATATATATATATATATATATATATATATATATATATATATATATATATATGTGTGTGTGTGTGTGTGTGTGTGTATGTAGGTATGTATGTATGTATGTATGTATGTATGTATGCATGTATGTATGTATGGTGGACTCTACCGTCGGTTTTCGACGTATGAGGGTCAAGCAGCTCAGTTCCTCGGAGCCGACAGGCAGACACCAGTACATGAGATTTGATTATAGTGGTGAAGGTTTCGTGCAGGACCAGCCACACTTTTTGAAGGGACGAATACACAGACCTGGTGCACTACGTGCCACAAGGTCGCCAAACGACCCTACGCAGGTTTTGAATTCAGAGTTGTTCTTCTCCTACACCAGCTGCCATCCAAGGCTATAGAACCCATAGCTGGAGGGAGAAGAAGAGGATTAATACCTTTCCTAAGTGAATGTAATGGATTTGACTGAATTCGAACTCGGCTCTCCGATTCCTCAGTCTGAGCCGCTATCACTACTCCACTCCACCCCCCTCTCTCTCTCTCTCTCTCTCTCTCTCTCTCTCTCTATATATATATATATATATATATATATATATATATATATATATATATATATATGTTCACCTATCGCTCGGTTTACATAGAGGTTTATCCCTGTTTCTTGTTTAGGATTGGGTTTCCGGTTCTTTATCCTAAAATCTTCTTATTCTCTTTAAAACACAGTACCCCCCCCCGCTTCGTCTTAGTGGCATTTATTGCTTTGCTTTTTTTTGTTAAGTAAAGAAAAATATTTCTCAATAAAAGTTTTTATATTTGCCTTCATAAAGTTCGTCAAGTAATGAAACGCTTCGGCCTAAAAGGGTTTGTTAACACACGCACACACATACACAGGCACACAACCACAAACACACACGCAGAGGTATGCTTTAACCTTCGTACCCGTAAAAAACGGTGTATCAAAAAGAACGGTTTTCCCTTGACACCGCTATTATTTTTGTTCTACCTTCACTCCCTCGTAATGTTTATTTACAAGATTATAAAAATATGTGAACCAAGTACAATGCGATATTTATTATTTTAGAAATAAATAAATCTGAAAAATAACCTTTTTATTCAAAAATTAAAAAAAAAAATCCATCTATAATGCAATATTTATTATTTACCATTTTATAAATAACTATGAAAACAAGTTTTTTATTCATAATTTCATTAAAAAAAAAAAAATCACTGAATTCCTGCATGAATAAACTGTCCGGAAAATGCAGTTTTTAAAAATTTATAATTAGTTACGCATCGTTATCGTACACTATTTAACTGGGTCTAACTAACACCTTTATCCACTGTGCCAGTGACAGGACACAAAGAGTGTGAGTTCAATACCTGGTTAAGGCAGTGGAGAACTTTCAGAGGGGAATTAACAGGAGATAACTGACATCCATCAAATATGGCACATGGAACTAGAACAGTCTACTCCAGTGAGCGAAATAAAGGGTTCAGTTCGACATTCAACCACCTGAAGAAGCCCGGAGCGTACAACGGCCGAAAATTTTGTGATAAATATGGCAACAAAGATGAGGACAATAGTTCGAATAATGTAAATAGTGTACATAATACCTCATCTCAGAAATATAGACAGATATCGTCGTTTTCGGTCTATTTAAATTTAAATTTTCATGGTTGGCAGACATGTTTTATAAATTGACGAATAAAAAATTTTCATATTTATTTCTCATAAAATATTGTTGTTTCGCATTTTTAGGGTTCGTTTTGTTAAAATATTGTAATAAGGTTATTCTTATTTACATTATTCGGACTGTTATCCTCATCTTCATTGCTATATTCACAACGTTTCGGCCTTCTTCAGATGATTGGAATTTCGGATCGAACCCTCTATTTCATCCACCATCTAGTTCCACGTGCCATGCCTCTTCCGGATGTCTCAAGTTATTTCCCTTTCACTCAACTCACCAAAAGTTTTGGTTCACCACTGCTGTAGCCTGGTATTGAACTCACAACTCTTTGGGGTGGATCTAACCAACGCCTTCATCCACTAGGCCATGTTTCCTTGAGGACGTCTGCGTATGAATTTCTGGGAATTATAAACTAAATGTCTCATCAACTGTTTATACCAGTGCTGATATGGAAATTTTTCCGTTAGTATTATTCATATTTTTACCAAAACTTATATTGCAATTTTTTTGTAGTTCTTATTCATTGCTTTTCTCTGGCACGCCTTATTACTGGTTCCCATATTGTATTCATTTCTATGCTTGGTCGGCTCAGGGGATTTTTGTGGCCTAGCATATGTGTTGAACCCTGAAGTTTTCATATTTTCCGGTGATGTTCTCTGTCTCTTATTTCAACCTCATACCTCAGTGAACGAAATAAAAACTCCGGTTCGAAATTTCAATCACCTGAAGAAGGCGGGAGCGTACAACGGCCGAAACGTTTTGAATATGTCAATGGAGATGGGGATAACAGTCCGAATAATGTAAATAATGTAAGTAATCATAATACCTCATCTCAGAGATCCAATCACCTGAAGAAGGTGGGAGCGTACAACGGTCGAAATGTTTTGAATATGGTAATAAAGATGAGGATAAGAGTTCGAATAATGTAAATAATGTAAATAATCATAATACCTCATCTCAGAGACCCAATCACTTGTAGAAGGCCGGAGAGTACAACGGCCGAAACATTTTGAATATGGCAATGAAGATGAGGATAACAGTCCGAATAATGTAAATAATGTAAGTAATCATAATACCTCATCTCAGAGATCCAATCACCTGAAGAAGGCGGGAGAGTACAACGGTCAAACGTTTTGAATATGGCATGTGAAGATGTGGATAACAGTCCAAATAATGTAAATAATGTAAACAATTTGAATATGGGTCGAAATGAATATGGCAATGGATGAGGATAACAGTCCAAATAATGTAAATAATGTAAGTAATCATAATACCTCATCTCAGAGATCCAATCACCTGAAGAAGGCGGGAGAGACAACGGTCGAAATGTTTTGAATATGGCAATGAAAATGTAACGTCCGAATAAGGTAAATAATGTAAGTAATCATATAAATATAATAATCTCATTCAGAGAATATGAAGAAGGCGGGAGAGTATCGAAATGTTTTGAAGATGGCAATGAAGATGAATAACAGTCCGAATAATGTAAATAATGTAAGTAATCATAATACCTCATCTCAGAGATCCAATCACCTGAAGAAGGCGGGACAACGGTCGAAATGTTTTGAATATGGCAATGAAAATGAGGATAACAGTCCAAATAATGAAATAATGTTTTGAATCCAATCACCTGAAGAAGGCGGAATCGAAATGTTTTGAATGAATGAAGATGAATAGTCCGAATAATGTAAATAATGTAAGTAATCATAATACCTCATCTCAGAGATCCAATCACCTGAAGAAGGCGGGAGAGTACAACGGTCGAAATGTTTTGAATATGGCAATGAAAATGAGGATAAGAGTTCGAATAATGTCCGAATCATAAGAGATCCAATCACCTGAAGAAGGCGGGAGAGTAAACGGTCGAAATGTTTTGAATATGGCAATGAAGATGAGGATAACAGTCCAAATAATGTAAATAATGTAAGTAATCATAATACCTCATCTCAGAGATCCAATCACCTGAAGAAGGCGGGAGAGTACAACGGTCGAAATGTTTTGAATATGGCAATGAAGATGAGGATAACAGTCCGAATAATGTAAATAATGTAAGTAATCATAATACCTCATCTCAGAGATCCAATCACCTGAAGAAGGCGGAGAGTACAACGGTCGAAATGTTTTGAAATAATGGCAATCAAGATCCAATCACCTGAAGGAGAACAACGGTCGAAATAATATGGCAAAAGATGAGGATAACAGTCCGAATAATGTAAATAATAAGTAATCATAATACCTCATCTCAGAGATCCAATCACCTGAAGAAGGCGGGAGAGTACAACGGTCGAAATGTTTTGAATATGGCAATGAAGATGAGGATAACGGTCCGAATAATGTAAATAATGTAAGTTCATTACCTCATCTCAGAGATCCAATCACCTGAAGAAGGCGGGAGATGAACGGTCGAAATGTTTTGAATATGGCAATGAAGATGAGGATAACAGTCCGAATAATGTAAATAATGTAAGTAATCATAATACCTCATCTCAGAGATCCAATCACCTGAAGAAGGCGGGAGAGTACAACGGTCGAAATGTTTTGAATATGGCAATGAAGATGAGGATAACAGTCCGAATAATGTAAATAATGTAAGTAATCATAATACCTCATCTCAGAGATCCAATCACCTGAAGAAGTCGGGAGAGTACAACGGTCGAAATGTTTTGAATATGGCAATGAAGATGAGGATAACAGTCCGAATAATGTAAATAATGTAAGTAATCATAATACCTCATCTCAGAGATCCAATCACCTGAAGAAGGCGGGAGAGTACAACGGTCGAAATGTTTTGAATATGGCAATGAAGATGAGGATAACAGTCCGAATAATGTAAATAATGTAAGTAATCATAATACCTCATCTCAGAGATCCAATCACCTGAATCAGAGTACAACGGTCGAAATGTTTTGAATATGGCAATGAAGATGAGGATAACAGTCCGAATAATGTAAATAATGTAAGTAATCATAATACCTCATCTCAGAGATCCAATCACCTGAAGAAGGCGGGAGAGTACAACGGCCGAAACATTTTGAATATGGCAATGAAGATGAGGATAACAGTCCGAATAATGTAAATAATGTAAATCATAATTATAATCTCAGAGATCAATCACCTGAAGATATAGATAAAGATTATTTTTGGCAATGAAGATGAATAACAAATAATGTAAATAAAAGTAAATAGTGTTATAGATAAAAAGATTATTTTTTTGTAAATAAACAATATTTTGTTCAATATTTTAGTTGTTGATTCTCAAAAAATAAAAAAATGTATAAATTCGATTTCATCTGTTTGGGTTTTATTAAAATTCTAATCATCGTTTTTTAAAACAACAAAAATTGCCGAGGGAGTGGAGGTAGTTAAAATAACAGCGGTGTCAATGGAAAAACGTCCTTTTTCCACTCTATTTTATTGCGAGCACGGAAGTTAAAGATTACCAAAATATTGATATGAAAATAATGAAGTCAGTGTTGACTGCAACAGATATCAAAGGGCAAACTTTCTTAAATGAGTTGAGACATAGTTGAATATATTGCTATCAATGGAAAACTAAAATACATCCGATGGGAAGCGAAAAGTTCTCAGTCCAACATACTTCCCAAAATATGGCGATATTAACAAACCACAGTTTGATTGAAGTGGAGTGAGACTAATATGATTCTTGGTCATGCTAAAGAATATTTCACTGTTAATTAGAAGGTTGTTAGAATAGAAAAAAACAATACAGATATGGCCTAAACAGTTATAATAAGCAAAGATTTAAAAGAAAAAGAATAATTTTTACGGTTTATCAATACTTTATAGTATATTTTTTGATTGCAAAATTAATTCTCGTTTTTTTTTAGTAAATATTATATTAACAATTTTTGTTTTTTCAAATAACATTGAATTTTTCCAGATACAAGTCCTGCTATTTAACCCATAGCTAGAGGAGGAACTCCATTCATACCTTTCCCAAGTGTGTTTGTGCGTAATAATAATAATAATAATAATAATAATAATAATAATCTATCATTGGGGTCTAAATCGTAAAGTATCGTATCCCATCACTCCAGAAGTCTGCATTGCTTGGATTTTTTATGGCTTATCAACCCTACGTTAATGAAAGCCGATACATTTTTTTTCCGAAGCCTATTTTTGATTGCAAAAATAATTCTCTTTTTTTCGAGTAAATATTGTATTAACAGTTTTTTTTTCTCAAATAACATTGATTTTTCCAGATACAAGTCCTACTGTTTAACCTATAGTTGGAGGAGGAGGTATTTTCTTACTTATTCCCAAGGGTATTTTCGCGTAATAATAATAATAATAGTAGTAGTAGTTAAGAAAAGAGCGTGATCTAAGGAAAGAAAGAGAATAAACTTTTCTTTTTCGCAAATCGCGCTCTTAACTGTTAAAGAATATTGGAAGAGTTACGTCAGTAATTTTGTTTAATAATAATGTTATATAGGAATAAAGTGTCGCTGCCGACACTTGAGTTTGAACATAGATCGCCAGTGTGCAAAAACAGGCGATCCCACTATTGGATCAAGTAGATAACATGACCATAGAGGAAACGCATATATGGGGGGTAGCGTGTGTCTAATTGATCTGCATTTCTAGTCTATCCTCTATTACTACACGAACCGCTATTCTCCACTCTATTCACTATATTATATCTCTATTCAGATCACTATACGGTGGTTACTATTCGAGCGAGTAATATCGATTAGTGCGAGTGCTATTCGAAGGCGTCTGACACCAGCATTGTTCAACGGCGTTACTATAAGTTGTATCTGCGATTACAAAGTCTCTACTACAACGAGCATTACGAAAGTGACAACGACTATTCGTTGACATTGCAAAATATAATAAGTTATTATTGGCTTCTAAACCGTAATGTATCGTATCACATCGCTTCAGAAGTCCGCATTGCTTGGATTTTTTATGGCTTATCAACCCTATGTTAATGAAAGCCGGTACATATTCTATTTTTGGCGAGTGAATATTGTATTAAAAATGTTCTTTCAAAATAATAATTCCTTTGCTAGGAAAAAGACGGAATATATTCATACCTTTCCACAAAGCAATTTGCACGTAAGTAAATGCAACGAACCTGACCAGAATTCGAACTCGGGATCTCTGGTTTCTCATTACGTGCCGCTATCCATTACACTAACCGCACATCCACAAAAAAAAAAAAAAGATGTTCATTTTTTTCTTTAATTTACAGACACTTCTTGGCTGGTATTATTAGATCGCCAAGTGTTGTATAAGCATTTATTCTTGGGTTTTTAAGACCTTCACAATTCCATGTACTATTATTAGTTGCCAAGTTGGCATTCTGAGCGCTTTGGTCTTTTTTTCGACTTTGCTGAGATGAGAATGACCGGTTTTGTAAAATTATATATATATATATATATATATATATATATATATATATATATATATGTGTGTGTGTGTGTGTGTGTGTGTGTGTGTGTGTGTGTGTGTGTGTGTGTGTGTGTGTAAAGTAAAGTGAGCAAATAATATTCAATAATTTAATATATATATATATATATATATATATATATATATATATATATGTATCTATTTTAAGCTACAGTAATGGAAAGAAGAGAAAAATCGATATAAAAATATCTCTGTCTTGTTTTATTCTTGGTAAAAAGTCGTATAATGAATGATACTTAAAGTGGACATTGAGATTATTCGGGCTGAATTCTTTTCTTTATTTACTACTGACTGCTGACACACATACTCACAAACACGCACACATGTACATAGATGTATGTATGTATTTGTAAATGGATGTATATAAGTGGTGCAAAAGTAGGTATACAGCAATGGAAAAACAAAACGTGCGCGTATTGATTATACAATCATATCAATAATAAACATATCAACCCCTCAAAAAGTTTCCCCTGCCGTCATTCACACATTCCTCTTTACATGAAAAACATTTATTTATTTATATTTTACTTATTAAAGAATAAAAATTATAATAAATGTTGTATAATAAAAATAATGAAAATAAAAATATTAAAAATGATTTTAATGAATTAAATGCGTTCTAATATTAAATGATTCCTTAAACAACAATATTAAACAATATTGACAGCGTTGATAGCAGACACGGCAAGTAAACAACAAATAGACCTCCAGAAGGTAGACAAGGAAAGCGATAAGAAAGGACTAAGTATAAATTGCAAGAATAATTTGATCACCTTTGAGAAGATTGAATTTGAATAGTTAAAATATTTGCAATCCTGCTAGTCGAGGAATGGGAGAGAATGTCTGAGGTCACGGAGGTCCGAAACATTCTATGACCCCCCCAGAATAGACATCACTGAGAAAGCATTCTGGTGAGGATAATATGCGTATAAAGATGCTAATCCTCACTTCCGAACCCTCATCTCTTCATCCGATAACTATTCAGAATTTGGTAGCCAGAAATCCATACCTGAAAATTCATCTTTTTATGACTGGTAAAAAAAGTTTTAGATGGTGTCCGCGTAAATTTAGCACGCAACAATTCTCGATTGCCCTGGTGAATGATTCTCAATTGACGTCCTTATTGTTAAACATGCGTTATACTTAATACAATTTATTGTATTGATTATATCAATAATTAAAAAAAAAACATCAATTCCTCAAATATTCAAATTGTTTACCCCCTCCCCGTCATTCACACACCCCTCTTTACCTACAAAATATTTATTATTATTTATTAAATAATAAAAATTATAAAAAATGTATTATAATAGAAAAAGAAAGGACTAAATAAATTATAAGAATAATTTGATCGCATTTGAGAAGATTGAATTTGAATAGTTAAAATATTTGCAATCCTGCTAGCTGAGAAATGATCACCCTCAGCTGGGCCCATGGGAGAGAATGTCTGAGGTCACGGAGGCCCGAAACTTTCTATGACCCCAGAACAGACATCACTGAGTAAGCATTCTGGTGAGCATACCATAAATGTGTATAAAATCTTTAATTCCTTCTTCTCTCCGGCACCCCGGCCTTACCTCTTCAACTGATAACTTAGTCAGAACTTGGTAGCCAGAGATCCATCCCTGAAAATTCGTCTTTTTATTAGAGAGAGTGAGAGAGAGAGAGTGAGAAAGAGAGAGAGTGAGAAAGAGAGAGAGAGAAAGTGTTTGAGAGAGAAAGAGAGAGAAAGTGTGTGAGAGAGAGAGAGAAAGTGTGTGAGAGAGAAAGTGTGTGAGAGAGAAAGAGAGAGAGAAAATGTGAGAGAGAGAAAGTGTGAGAGAGAGAAAGAGAGAGAAAGTGTGTGAGAGAGAAAGAGAAAGAGACAGAGGGAGAAAGAGAGAGAAAGAGAGAGAGAAAAAACAGAGAGAGAAAAAGAGAGAGAAAGAGAAAGAGAGAGAAAGAGAGAAAGAGACAGAGAGAGAAAGAGAGAGAGATAAAAAGTGTGAGAGAGAGAGAAAGACAGAGAGAGAGAAAGACAGAGAGAGAAGAGAGAGAGAGAGAGAGAGAGAGAGAGAGAGAGAGAGAGAGAGAGATCCGGGTAAATTCAACACACAACAATTCTCGATTGCCGTCCTTATTGTTAAACATGCGTTATACTCAATACAATTTATTGTATTGATTATATCAATAATAAACAAAACATAATTTCCTCAAATGTTCAAATTGTTTGCTCACCCAAGCCATTCACACCCCACTCTTCACCTACAAAATATTTATTATTGTTATTGTTTATCAAAAAATAAAAATTATAATAAATGTACTATAATAAAAATTATGACTTATAAAAAAAGTTATTGGTCAGAGTTGAATTAGACCAGGAAAGAACAGTATTAAAAAGTGCTCAATGCACTTATAAAGAAAACCAAGAAAAAATCAACAAGCAAATTTAAATAACTGTATCCATAAAAGATATATATATATATATATATATATATATATATATAAATTTAAAGAAAAAAACGTTACGATTCATTTTTTATCAAACGTTTTAGTATTGAAAAGCTCCAAAGAATTCATACCGAGGAGCGAAATGTCCATAAAAATGGGATAGAATTGAGTTGCATTTTTATGTAAATCAATTCTATGCTTTATAATAATTATATTAATCTCTCTTTTGTGGATCAATTTTAACATTTTATATTAATGGGATTCACATGATTTTACCTATATATATATATATATATATATATATATATATATATATATATATATATATATATATATATAATATGTGATGCAGTTCAATTTATATTACAATGAATCATTCATACAAAAAGTAAATTAGTCAAGTTAATGATATAAAATGGCGAGATCCCTTACTCTACACGCCACACTAACTGATAAAATCCTGCAAACAAAAAACTCAAATTGCCATATTAGTGAAAAACGCACTCACTTCAATTTTCAATAAAATTCAACCTTTGCATTGCTTCTGCACGCTCCACAAGTTTGTATCTGTTAACAATGATACATAAAAAAAAAATACATATATATTTCGATTTGCATTATATTTTTTTCGTTTCGGATGCTACCTGAATTTTACCAAAAAACAAAATAATTTCCATGTCTGAAGATGACTGAATATACGGTCGAAAGTACTTGGGTATTTAAGAAAGACCTTATACAGCTTATAATTTTAAGAAACAAGTATCATAACATTCATCGTGTGGTTAGTGGGTTAATGCATCTTTAAAATTTTGTTAGCGAAGGGATTTCGCCATTTTATATCATTAACTTTACTAGTTTACTTTTTGTATGAATGATTCATTGTAATCCTTCCTCTTGGAAAAATTTTTTTCTGAAAATATACATGTATGGGAATTTTTTAGATATATTTTTCATATGTATGTATATTTTCCACTAATATTATCTATATATATATATATATATATATATATATATATATATATATGAAGAAATATAGTCTTAAGATGTGCTATGTTTATGGGATAAAGTGCTCAATATCAGAGATAGAGCGTGTGTAAATATAAAAGTGAACATTGAAGTCAACACTTAGAGGCAACTTTTCGTCCAAAGATGTTTCATGCTAGATGTAATCGTCAGGCCACGAGTGCTGTTATTTTTCTCGGCTATTTATATATACGGCTCAGACTGTCGCCTGTAAGTGTTGGCTTCTGTGTTCCTTTATATATATATATATATATATATATATATATATATATATATATATATATATAATTTGAGAATTTATCTTTATTAAAGATTGTCGGTCAGTGATTATGTGCATATGGTAGAATAGTTAACAGCATGGAATGAGAAATCGGTGACTTCGTTGCATTCACTTTCACGCAAATAACTTTGGCCAAGTTAGCAATCTCTGTCTTCCCTATCCAGCTATGGGTTAAATGGCAGGGCAGACTGGCTTCTCTGACCGTGGTTGGCAAAAATTCTAGAAGCAGGACAACTATGAATTCGTAAACGTGTGTAGCCCTGGCGTAACACGTGCTATGTAACCATCGGCATGAGCATGGAGTTCACTCAATAACCTCGACGTAGGCCGGTTGACTACGACTACATTGAGGAATAATAGTAATTATTATTATTATTATTAGTAGTAGTAGTAGCAATAGTAGTAGTAGTAGTCAATCGAAGATATATTTTAAAAGCTTGCCTTTTGTGCTGCTGCCCATACATAAGTTTAGTACATATACCAATATATATATATATTCTGAAATGGACAAAGTCCGACAATTATTTTAAGACATTTTTATGTTTATACATTCTTTTTATAGATACAAATATTTAAGTAAATGCTCTGTTTTATAATAAACAGTATTAACAACATTTACCGGCTTGAATGTCCGAGAAATCTTCATTGAAAATATTCCTTCTCCGACAGGAATCGAACCTGTCTCCTATACGGAACCGTCATTTAGCCTGACGTGCCTTAACCAACCGAACCATGGAGAATCGTTCGATTGGCAAGGTCGATTTTACGATTGAAGTTTAAAAGCAGTAAAATCGACCTTGCCAATATATATTAATTTAAAAGTTATGTTTAGTCGATGCCCTTATTTGAGTAGACACGCTCTTTGTGGGTCCGAGTAAAAAAATAAAAACTATTAATTCTTTAGAATTTGCTTTGTTTACTGAGCAGATATGCGTTCCGTGAAAAGTCTGAACGTGTGAATGTGCTTTAAATAGCAAAATAGAACCTTGCCTCATTGCGACGCTCTTCGTAGCCGAGTGGTCAAAGCTCGACGTGTCAGACAGTGGTTCCAGCCGCAAATGGAGACGCAGGTTCGAAGCTTGCCGGGGGACACATTTTCTCTAGTACACATGGCTCCAGACAAGATAAAAGCCGTTTAAAATAGAAACACTGTCTACTCAACTACAGACATCCATTAAAAATAACGTTTGAATAAGAAGAATGTGGCGAGTTAAAAATAAAATCCGTTTATTCTTTTGAAATATATATATATATATATATATATATATATATATATATATATATATATATATATATTAAAGACATTTTATATTTAACATTCTTTTTATAGATACAAGTATTTAAGTAAATGTTTGTTTATAATAAACAATATTAAATAATATTTACCGGCCTGAATGTCCGAGAAATTTTCATTCAGGCCGGTAAATGTTATTTAATACTGTTTATTATAAACAGAGCATTTACTTAAATACTTTTATCTATAAAAAAGAACGTTAAACATAAAAATGTCTTTAATAAATAAATTGTCGGACTTTGTCCATTTCTTAATATATATATATATATATATATATATAGTTAAACCTAGAAATCCAGGCAAGCCTAACAAGTTTTCACCTAAGCGGATCGTCAGGGAGCCAGCCTTCCCTGACGACCCGCTTAAGTGAAACCTTGGTATGTTTGTCTGGCACCCTAGGTTTAACTAGGTCTGCTCTACTTATTGTATTGAGCACTTTATTTAGTTATTTTGTGTACTCGTATTGTTTTTTTTTCTTTGGGCTTTGGACTTGCATGCTGGACGATTATTTTCGGCTAACGTACATGTTCTTGGATCTTTTTTTTATACCTTTTTTTATTTCCTTTGGTATTGGTTTGATTATTTGCAATTCAAGACACCGAAGGTTTTCCGGACAAGTATAATTTCTTATACTTATAAGAGTGTTACTACGATTAATATATATATATATATATATATATATATATATATATATATATATATATATATAATGATAGAAACATAGATCTAAGGTATGCTATATTTATGTGTCCATATGAAAGAAACAGCATATGTAAATATAAAAATGGTCAATGAGGTTAACACCGAGCGGCGACAGTCTGTTTCATGTTTCATAGCAGTCTTCAAGCCTGAAGAATTTGTCGAATCCTGAAGCAAACTGTCATCACTTGATGCTGATCAGTGTCCCATATATATATATATATATATATATATATATATATATATATATCAGGTTTGGATAACGAAGATCGGTATGCATAAGAAAAAAATAGTCATATTCTAATGAAAAAAAAAACGGTTCCCTAAAACGAACCAACAAAAGCGAAATTTAAAGTCTTTAAATTTAAGTGTTTGATTTTTATTTTTTCATATTTCTACCACAGCCACGTGGATATTTTTTTATAAACGCAAATAATTCCACCTGAAATAGAAAATTTCATTAATGAGAATTTAAGAAAATAAAAGATTAAGCCAATAAATAAATAATTTTCAAAATTTAAAAAAAAATTAAATTTAAATTTTTTTTTATATTCTTCGAAAACATCTGGCGTTTGTTTCATCTATGTAGCGATATCATTGTCTGCTGACATCTTGTTAAATGAAAAACAGCTGACCTGTCACGAAAATCATTTCAGACATTTATTTGCTCTGATGACTGTTAGCCAATTGGAGTGGTTCTCACAAAGACTATAGCAAGCGGATTGGACAAACAAAGTCACTGAATGAAGATAAATTACATTTTTAGACAAAGATGACCAGACAAAGAACAATGTAATCTATAAGACAGTGACCACTGCCCGCGAAAAAAAACCCAGAGTTACGAGAACATTGTCTTGCATCGACGGGAAAGTGAAGCCGTCCGTTAGACATTTCACCTCCATCTCTCCCCTACGACTCATCTCGGCCTCGCTCGTCTATAGCAGCAGATTATAACCCGAGTATAAAATCTGCTTACTGCTACAAATTCTCATGGCCTTAATCCGTGGCTAACGATCTGACCGAAGGGTTATTTTTTTTAAGTCACATTCATTTGATTGGAAGAAGCTGCAACCTGAGAACGAACCTGGTGTCTGGTATGAGCTGCAACGCTATGTCTTTAATAGAAAGTGTCTAACCAAATGAAAGAGATTCCTTCTCATTTCGACAAATCTGAAGGTTCTCAAGACGATGTCTTTAAAATAATTTTGTAATCAGAATAGAATTATTCAGAATACTATAAAATTGTTTAGATATATATATATATTTCTAGTTGGCTTGTGTCAAAATACACTTTATTAAAAGTGGGATTACCCTGTTTGTCTGTCAAAGAACTGGTAACGACCACAAGATGACAACAATAATAATAATAATAATAGTGATGATGATGATGATGATGATGATGAT